GAACTATTCTGAATATTTTTGCACACGAAAATGTTTTGTTGATTTTTGAAAGAAAATTCGATTCAATACGCAAATTACTGAAATTTGCACTTTACAGAAGTAAATATGATTCGGGAAACAAAAATTTTTCATATCAAATTGAAATTGAAGGTGACAATAAGTTGTTAAGTAATTTTACTTCAGGTTATGAACAAAACTATAATTTTAAAGCAATTAAACTGGCGTCAGTAATAAGTTTTACCACTATGGAAGTTACTGGGAAATTAGTTATCGGGGAAGCAACCCAAAAATACACTCAACTTGAAGAAGAAATGCTCTCACTTTTGAAATGTATAAACTGTTCGGATTATGCAATTTCACCGATTCATTATTGCGCGGAAAAGTCAAACGTAGTATGTTCGGGGTGTAAGGAAAATCACGGTTGTGACTCTTGTGAAAAATCAGCTCCAAAGAGAAACATTAGTCTGGATGGAATAGCAAGTTTACTAACGTATCCTTGCAAATACAAACGAAACGGTTGTACTTTTACTTCTAAATCTGAGAAAATCAGTGAGCATCACTCTATATGTGAATTGAGTGATTCTCCATGTCCTTTTGAAGAAACAACCTCAAAATGCTTATGGAAAGGCACAACAAACCACTTGCTTGATCACATAAGAAATAATCATCAACGATTTTTGTATGCAACTAACACCGTATTTTTTAGAAAGCTTATAGCGGGAACAACGGCCTATATGATACTTAAGTTTTCATATCGTTGTTTTCGATTCAGCTATAAAAAAACAGAGCCGTCTACTTATTATTTTACTGTTCAAACGATTGGTTGCTTTTCAAATCAATACAAATTTGAAATCGAAATTCAAGATCCTTCTACAAAAGGGATTAGATTAGTAGCCAGCAAACTTTGCCCAAAGATGACAAAAATTAAACGCTGTTTTACAAATCCGGATAATTACATCGCTTTTGACAATATTAAAACGTTTGAAATGGGTAGTAGTCTTATATTTAAGGTGACTGTTTTCAAGTAAACATGTATTTTTGCACTTAAAAAAATGTTAAAATTATTAATCAATAATATTAAAATTTATGACTGTTATCATTTTGTAATGTAGTTAAAATACACATTTTTTCTTAAACATATCCTTTATTTTTATCGTTTTTGATCACATATATACAGGTAAAATACCAGGAACATGGAAATAATGTTAAAAGAATTCTATCTATAAAAATTTCGGAGTTATGAGGGTTTAAATTTATGTCAAAATTTTTTGACATATGTAACATAAGCAACTTCGACATTCTACAACCTGTTAAAATATTTGTTTCATATTTT